TGCGTTGTCTGTTGCACTGATAATGTGTCAAAACTTATATAGTTTGAGATTTGGAGTTATCCCTTTTACTGAGATATTCCTTGCTGAAATGGAAGCACACACACACACACACACACAAAAGGTGAAGGTGCAGAATTTCCTACTCTGTACCTGGTGGGTGAATTTCTAAATCATAAAGCCAGGTTTGTGGCCCTCTTCTGGATAAATACGCAAGTAGGCTGTCAACATGGCAAGTGTTCTTTCCTTAGCTGTTCTAGTACCAGAGCTTCTAAGAAAAGACAATCCTTTTTGCATTTTAAGAAATAGACCCAGCAAGGAACCAAATACTGGAATATGACAGACTTTGCAAAGACATTTTTTAAATTATGTTTTTTTTGGGGGGGTGGGGTGGGGAGTGTACTGGGGATTGAACTCAGGGACACTCAACTACTAAGCCACACTCCCAGCCCTATTTTGTATTTTATTTAGAGATTGGGTCTCACTGATTTGCTTAGTGCCTCACTGTTGCTGAGGCTGGTTTTGAACTCGCGATCCTTCTGTCTCAGCTTCCAGAGCTACTGGGATTATAGGCATGTGCCACCATGCCCATCTTAAAATCCCTTTTAAGGCTTATCTTTTTTAAAATTAACTTTTTGTTTTTAACTGACATATAATAATCTTACATATTTATGGAGTACAGTGTGATATTTCAGTTCATGTAGTACATGTGATGATCAGATTAGGGTAACTGGCATGTCCATCATATTAAACATGTTTCACTTATTTGTGTTGGAAACATTCAAAGTCCTCTCTACTAGATCTTTGGAGATACACAACAAATTGTTGTCACCCATAGTTATCCTATTGTGCTATAGAACATTAGGAGTTACTCCCTCTATCCAACTGTACCCCCATCCTGTTAACCATTCTTTTTACCACCCAACCTTCCCATGTTCTCTTGCTACTTCTGTGAGTTGAACTTTTCAGCTTCTCTATATAAAAGAGAACATGCAGAGTTTGATTTTGCATTCCTGACTTATTTCACTTTGCATAATATTCTCCAGCTCCATCCATGTTGCAGCAAATGCCAGGATTTTACCCTCTTTTATTTGGTACCAATCATTCTTCTCCAATTCGTAAGGGACTCCCACAGGACCACCAGGTATAGGAAGAGAAGTGGGTAAGGTTTTCTGCTGGCTCTTATACCAGGTGCTCAGGTCTCCTGGGAACCCAGTGTGCTATTTGCGAACTCTCTGGGAGAGCGGGGGAATGTGCAGGTGTTTAGGCAGCATCAATACAGGTGTATGAAACCTTTCGAGTCAGGTGAAGTTCAAATTCAAAAGTTATTAACTTTGAGGTTAGTTTGAGATTCGGAGTTATCCCTTTCTCTTATTCAGATATTCCTCCCTGAAATGGAAGCACTAAAAAAAAAAAAAAAAAAAAAAAAAAAGGAGGTGAGCATAAAACCTTAATCAATCATCTCAGCTTGGAATTCCTATTGAAACCAGTTCCTGTAAGACCTGGGAGCATCTTTTATCTCTACTGAATGAACGCTGCTTACTACAAAAGCATAAGCTATTATTATTCAGCATATAGAAATTTCTGATGCCAGAAGTCACTGGTGTGTGCTCTTGGATCTAAATAAGATAACTTTTGCAAGCATTTTGGTTTATAAACATGGATTTTAACCACTAACTTCAGGTCTAGTTCCAGTAGGAGCAGTTATTTCATATAGGTATTCATGGGACTGAGAAATTCCACCACTTTATTTAAACCATGGATAGATTGAGCTGTCCCCCTCTTTGAACATTGTACATTTCCTGGCTTGCTTGGAACTGGTACCAGGTGAGATCAAAGACAACTACAGATCCTGTACTGAATTCTAATATATGTTAAAAGCTAAGCTCTCTTTTTTGGTTCCTGTCGTAACTAGAAAGGAGAGCTCATTCACAAGAAGAAGATGAATTAAAAATTAGGAAGAGCCAAATGTGAATATAGATATGGACTTTTTTTTTTTTTTAAATATGCCGCAGCAAAGAAAATCACATTTGGTGACAATCCTAGGACCACCTTCTGGGCTTTCTGCTCTGGAGGTGGAAGCAGCTGTCTTTGCAACCCATGACCACCCTCACTCCATGGCTTTTGCTTCCTGTTACTGAAGAGGCCCAAGATGATGGGCAATGTCCTCCAAATCCCTGAACCTCCATCCAACTCCTTTGTTTGTGTATGTAGGTGTGTGCTGGTATCTGGGAATAATTTTGCTTTGGAGCAAATGAGACACTCCCCTCAGCTGCATACAGCTTGGCCCCTCACCTGCTGTCCTGCATTTAATTTCATGGACCGTCTCCTGACTCCTCTCAGAGTTCAGGAGTCTCATGGAGGCTGCTGGGGTGATTTTCTCTCTGCCTTGAATCATGGCCTGTAAGTGCTCAGTCTCTACCAAAGATGCATAGAGGAACAAAAACCTGTATGCTAAATTTCTATTGATGACAAGTGGCCTCATATTTCAGTTCTGTTTTGAGGTGTCTTCTCAGAATTATTCTTGTGAGATACTAGAGAATTGGGAGGCTTATCATGCAGCTCTATTGTATGGAGGATATAAATGGTTCCAAGAATGGTTCTATTTCAGAAAAACCATGAGATATTAGGTTAACCAATTCATGATAAAATTATGTCTCTCTCTCTGTCTCACACACACACACACACACACACACCTTTTATTTCTATTCTGTATTTGCCTTACATCTTCTAGTCAGAAAACTGCATATCTAAGCTTTACTTCTGACTTTATCACTAGTTCCCACCATTACTGATGTTCCCATTTGATGTCCTTTTAATAGTCAAATATTTCTTGGCCTATGGACAGTGACTTTTGAAGCTAACCCATTAGAGGGGTGACTTTAGAATTTATAGAATCTGAAAACTTTAGAACTTTCTTTGAAAGATAAGAAATACGAAGGACAGGAAATATGAGTAACTTCTCCAGAATCATGCTGTTTTCAAATATAGGTATCTGGATTGTCAAAATTGTCTTTTACACACATACATTAGAACCTTTTGGACCCCGGAGGGCAAAGAGCACAGAATTTAGATTGAAAAGGAATTGTGTCTGACAGTAAGCGATAACTTAGTGGTGAGATGGCTACAAGTTGTGAGACCTTCTGTGAGGAAGTTTATTTTTCAATTTAAAAAATATTATTCACCCTATTTACTTTATAGAAGTACAAGGATTCTACAGAATATGAGTGAAAATGTTTGTAAAGGACAAAGTCCTGCACAAATATTAATTTTGACTTCCATAAGCATGCAATAGTTTTATATATAAATATATAATGCATAGATATATATGTATACATCTTAATAAGTTAATTAATGTGCTAATAAAATAATTCTCAACAAAAGCCGATCTTTTCCAAATCTCATAAATGCCCAATTTATGATCATCTGTGGTTGGCTTTCTGCAGACTAACAAGACAGCTTCATATCTTGGAGATCAGGTTAAGAATAGGGAAGAATACAGATGGGATTTTTGCTGCTCTGGAATCCAAGTCAACCTTTTGGAATTTTAATGTCCCTTTCTCATAGTGAATGAAAAGCTGATTCAGTGGAGATATCCAACCATTTTCTGCTTCATGGATATTAAAATAGTCTTTCAAGCTCTGTGGATATTTACTGATTTACTGGGATTAACTACTCCACATAATTTAGAGAAGTAAATGTAGTTCTAATTGATTGTAATATAGATATTTATAGAGTGTAGGAATGGCAGATTTGTTTCAAATTCGGGGTACTCATCAGTTGCCTGGTGGTGCTGGCTTAAGAACTGTGTAGAAGGAGCTGCTGAGGCTACATGTAGGTTTGGTGGACAAATGCCACCATCAATCTGGCAGTGTCCATCATAGGCTTAGGTAGAGAAAACACATGTAACAATGGAAATAACACTGAGGCTTTGGTTGTAATCCTGGTGTCGCCATCATTTACCCAGGAGAACTGAAGCAAGACCCTCAATCACTCTGGGTCTCAATTTTTCTCATTTTGGAAAAAAAAATTATGTGGCTATCCTTCCCTCCATGAACTTTATGTCTTCTTACAAAGGCAGTTCACACATTGTTATTCTTGTCAACTCAAGTACACTTCAGTAGGCAGATGACTGTCCTTAGTGATTATAAAGGCACAATTCCACCTTACCTACCACCTAGGATCTTATGAGATTAGATTCCAGAAAATGCACATGAAAATATTTCATGAACAGCAAATGCTACAAAAATATGCCACAAATCATGACTTCAACTTCTCCAGTTTTCTAAGTAGTAAGCTCTCTAGAAAGTCAAGAATATGAAAGAAATTCTTTTCCTTTTAAAGAACATTCTCAGAACATTCTTTTGGCTACAGCAAAGGAAAATAAAATTAATAATGATATTTTTAAATGATGGAAACTGAATGTGTTTGACTTGGAACCTTTTATCATCCTTCTATGATTCTCAGAATGAGATAGAATTGCTGAAGTTTTTTCCCATTAAGAAAAAGGAACTATCATGATTGTTTGTTTCTTTTTGTTTGCTGTAAAACTTTAGAAAGTCTTTTGTTTCTTTTCTTTCTGCCCCCCTGAAGTCAGGCTTAACATTGGCACAGAAGATTTTTGGAATGATTTTAGCTAAATCATTTTCTTTCAGTTAGAAGAAGAATTAAAAAAAAAAAAAAGACAAAGTTACACAATTGTAATGCATAATCAAGTGATAAGAACTCCAGTCAAGTGGAGGGCAGCAAGGTCTTGTAAAGTTGTCCAGAGGGAGATGTGGGGGGTCCCCAAATACCACAGTCTTCCATCCATTGTATTCCTACTTTGGAGTTGATGGTTTTCTTTGCTTGTCCGCTATCATTTCACTTAAAGGACTGGGAGGTTGTGGATGAATGGCAGGCATCTTAGTAAGCCAAGGGGAAGGTGTTCATGGATTTAGTTCAGGCTTCCACTGGCTTTTGAGAAAGAGCCCCATTTATGATCACTGGGCCTCTGTTTTCAGATCAGACTCCGACCCCAACGAGATTCCTGAAGAACTGCGAGGAGGTGGGCCTCTTCAGCGAGCTGGACTGCTCCTTTGAGCACGAGTTCAGGAAGGCTCAGGAGGAAGAGAGCAGCAAGCGGGTAGGTTTGCTTAGGAGGATACCTGGAGAGGTGCTTCCCTAACACTGGCTAGAGACTTCTACACGGAAAGCAAGTGACACCACAGAGTCCATTGAAGTTGCTTGAAATAATACTTCATGTCTTTGCAAGTGTTTGTCCCTGATTGTGATAGAATCCAAAGCTTGGATAAATCATGAGAAAATAAATGTATCAAATATTAAATTAAAGCAAAAAAAAAGTTACCTGATTCTTGAAGCTGTGTGGATAAACTCACTATTTTGATTTTCAACCAGTGGTTTTATTTTGCTAAATATTTAGCATCAGCCTTACATGGGTGGTGAGCACAGAAGACAAGAGTCAAAGGGTAAGAGAACAGCTGAATCACAGCCGCAGGAGAGGGGAGTTTATCTGGTTTGGGCCCAGCTTATAACTGTGTGTGTTTCATAATCTTCCACAGATTCATAATTACTTCCTGTTTATGTTACCTGGTCAGATTTTTGAACACCTCTTGTTGGTGAAATAAATATGTTAGTTACAAGTATGGATCATTTGTTCTTAAAAATGTAAGAAATTGGGCTGGGGTTGTGGCTCAACCGTAGAGCAGTTGCCTAACTTGTGAGGTCCTGGTCTCGATCCTCAGCACCACATAAAAATAAATAAATAAGGTATTATGATCATCTACAGCTAAAAAACATTTTTTTTTAAAAAAACATATTTTTTAAAAATGTAAGAAAATCAGGCTGGGGCTATGGTTCAGCGGTAGAGCACTCACTTAGCAGCACTTATATAAAGGCCCTGGGTTCGATCCTCAGCATCACATTAAAATAAATAAATAAATAAATACATAAATAAATACAAATGTAAGAAATTCACTTTATGAAATCCTTTAGAATATATTTTATTTTTATAATAACATTGTGTGGGAATTATAAAATCACTTTACACGATGAAATAAAGAAGATGGGGTCACAGATAAAGGTGACAAGGATGCTTTTTAGTATTTTTTTGTCACTGTCATAGAGCATTACTAATGTCCACAGCATACTGAAAAACAAATTAGACACAGTCCATGAACAGAAAGTTAAAACGTGAAAAATGATTGAAAGGAAGGGCCAGCTAGGTACTCATGAATTCCAAAGTTTCAGCTGTTCCAACTGGAGAGGAAATTTTAAAAGACTGACATTTCTCTGAGTGTTTCAAAGTCTTTGAATCTTCCTCTCTGTGAAATTATAATAATCCCCCTCCACCAGATTTTTCATGTCACATTCTTACATCATGATAGGCCAGGGCTTGTATTCAGTTTGTACAGCTTTAGGGGGAAAAAATCAGAAAAAGAATTGATATAAATATAAGAGGGGTACAAAATCTCAATTCATTTTATTTATTTATAATTACTTTGCTATTTATATTTGACACTCTCGTCCACTACCCAGCTAAATGACATAGAGTGCCTTTTTCTTGTTTGAAAGCAAATACTTATATAATAAGTACCATTTACTAGGCAAATAATAAAGTTATGAGCACTTTAAAAAATTAACTTGATAAAAATACAAGGTATAATTCTATATCTCATTGCAATGGAAATATATTTTGAAAAGCCATGAAAATAGCAAAGGACAAGTAGAAAGTCTCATCTAGTAAATTTCCTCTGGTTGAATAATCAGTTTAGCTCATTTGGTAGGTTCGCTGATGTAGAAGACTGTTAGAGGAATTAAGTTTGGTCATTTCTTGAGATAATCAAAGTTGGCTTCTTAGATAAACTGAGCCATTGAAAGATGTCTGCTTGGCCCATGTTGTCTTCATGTCTGGTAGAATGGTTTTAATGCTCTTGCTTTTCCTAAAGACATTTCACCAAGAATGGTTTTGTGAAGCTCACGGTAGGGGTGTGGTTTTCAATATTCTCCATTGCATTATACATGATTTCCTATACGAAGCCAGTGTGAGGAATTCTTGCAGAACTGAATTCCAGGAAATGATTTGCTTCCCCCAAAGAACTGAAATATTTTCTCCTCCTGGACATGAGAATCGTGTAACTGGTTGTTTCTCTTTTCGCTTTGACTGCTAGGTGAACAAAAAGCCAAATTTATTGCTTAACTTGGAGAACTTTTTAGAACACTATGATGAGCCATATTTTACTTCCTCTGTGTACTAGACTTTCAGTTCTAGTTCATATTTTCTCTGGTCCTGATTTTTAATTAAAAAAATTTTTATGCTAACCATGTTTGGTGAGTTGCTGTAAATGCCTTGTGGGTTGGGAAGAAGTACAAATCATTAAAAAATTAAAATAATTAGGTAAACAACATTGAGAAAGGACTATTGCAACTGTAGAACTATGTGTTTTCTTTCTTTTAAATGCTTCTCATAGTCTGTGGGGATGATTCATGATGGGTCTGTGGGTGGCAGTCCTGCAGCCAGCATGCCCTGTGGTTTGCCTCTTAGGACGCCACAGTTTCATGCCCCAGCCTCACTTGCATGCACTAGAAGCTGGTCTGCATTTGGGCTATTGAGGCTTCCTCTTTCTTTGTCTCATTTACTCAGGTGGCCATCACTACACTAGAGGGTATCCTCTGGAGGCCTAAAGCACAGAACTCATCCAACAGCCAAATGAACCGTTGGTGGATTCTACCTAGTGTTTCTTTGGAAGCTGGAGGGTGTGCAGAAATAAAGAGTAGGAGGGATGCTCCCCAATTTGACAATACCCTTTTACCTATTCCCTGGACCATTTCTCCAGATGTGGACATCTCTGGCACACTGCCATCTCCACATACTACTTCATTTATTCTTTTGCCTCTTGAAAAAGTAGAGACACGAAGTCCTTATTCAACACATAGCTTATTAGCTACCCTGGAGTGTTATCTGCTCTTTTCCTTCTTCTCTGCTCTCAGATGGTTATTTCCTTTTAATCTGACATCTCCAGTTCTTCTGGTTTTTCTTTTTTGCCTCTGAGCCCTTTAACAAAAGACTTGCATTGGTTCATGAGCACTTTTTTTGTAAAGTGGAAGATGGATTAATTTATCTGGAGAGTTTGTTTAAAAGCGTTCTTGTTTGAAATCTCTAAGTACTTTATACACAAATATGGGGAGGATTAGAAGAAAATCCTGTTAAAGAGCAAATAGAGAATTTATCCTTGTTTAAGCCATCTAACTGCCGATTGGAGAAAATCCTGTTCTACACATTCTATAGATTATCCTGAAACCCTTTGCCCCAAACATCCCAATATGTTAAGGACAGGTCAGCAGGTCAAAAAGCCCCAATATCTGTATCAGCAGGTCAAAAAGCCCCAATATCTGTATCAATGTTACACAGAGCAGATAACATATTCCATAATTGTCTCAAAGTTTTATGTGAATGTAAACTCATAGCCTCATAACTCTTTAATAAGATCCGCCCCCCCCCAAAAAAAAGCATGTTGTAACTCACTAGCAGACATCACAAATCTCAGCTTGCCTGTGGCTAAGAACTCAGGATAGTCCATGTCCTGAAACACACAGGATACCTTTGTTCACTAATTTTTCTTTCAAGAAATATTTTCAGATGTCCACCATATGCCAGGCACTGTCCAAGGCATTTGATAAGCATACCATTGAATAAAGATGATAAACAATACAAAGAGTAAAGAAGTGAAGAATCTGTCTAACATTTCAGATGGTGATAAGTGCTATATGCAGCAGCGTGGGGCCCTGGGAGGCTGAGAGCCTGAGAGGGCATTTCTCACTGATGGACATGTAAGCAGAGATGTAGAGGAGAAGGCTGAGCCAGGTGCCTACTGGGGAGAAGAGTGTTAGGAGTTGAGAGAACATAAGTGCAAAATCCTGAGGCTGGATGACGTGCTGCATGTTGTAGGCATTGCAAAGGGGCTTCTTTGAGGGGGGGAGATGCCGATAAGGCCAAGACCTGATCCAGGAGGGCCTTGCAGGTCGTTTAAAGGGCTTTGGCTTTTACTCCAAGTGATATGGGGAGCCACAGCACAATTCTAAGCAGAGGAGTGATGGGATCTGCCTTATTGTTTTAGAAAGATCACGTTGGCTCTTGAATTGAAAGTAAGTTGTTGGAGGGCAGTGGCAGAGACAACAGTTAAGAAGATATTAAAAGAATCTAGATTGAAGATGAGAGCAGATTATCCCACAGTAGAGATGGAGGAGTTGTTAGATTCTGGATTCAGTATGAAGATAAAGGCAGCAGAATTTGCTGGGGATGGATTAGACTGGGGAGTAATAGGAAGAGTAGAATCAAGAATGAAACCAGAATTTTGGCTTGTACAACTAGAAGGATGGAGTGGTCTATGGGAGGAGCAGGTTGGGCACGGGGCGGAATTGGGAGGTTTGTTTTTAAACTAAAGTGGAGATAGTGGATCAGCAGATGGATGTACAAGTCTGGAATTCAGGGGGAAGAGAGACTGGCTGGTGTAGTAATTCCACAAGAATGGGAAAGACTTTTCTGGGCCAGAAGTAAAGGGAGTAGAGAGTTCTAAGTATAGAGATGGACAGAATCTTCCAGAATCCTCCAAGACAGAGACTTCAGTGCTCTTCAGTGTCCAGAGATGATGCAGAAGACTGTAAAGCTTGAAGAATCAAGTCAAGAAGAGAACCTAGCTCTTACGGAAACGCTGAGTAGACAATATGTGCTGATTCTGTGTTCCATATTAGAGGAGAGAAAAACAGGATTTTAATAAGAGAAAACAAAAAGAAGGGTGAATCAATCTTTTATATTTAATTACCTTTTTTTTTTTTAAAAAAAAAGAGATTGAATAATATACATCTAGGAAGCAGGAGATAACTTCAACATATAAGAGATGTTGTGTATTTGTGAGGAAGGAAGGGCAATTGAAGGGACAACAAATGAACTCCTTTGTCTTGCTGAGAGAAATATAACATTACAGCCTAACATGGTTAAAGACCTGAGATGAAAAGCATGCTGTATAAGTGCTAAGTGTTGCTATTCTCCCATAGGACCTGAATATGACTCATTATGATGCAGAAATAGCAAATTAGGACATTTCCATGCTCTAGAATTCCTGCCCA